TGTATTGTTTTTATGTTATGAGTGCTTAGTGTATATTTAGTTGATGTTTTTCTTAGTTCATATCTTAGATGTTATTACTGTTTTTCTTGTACATTTTATTGTTGGATGTAACTGGGACCCTGTGTACATAATTTCGTTCACGACAATAAAGAATCTCTGACTCTGACGAAGTGAAGATTCAACTTGTCTGCTGCTTCCTTAGATAGAGAATTTTACTAATTGGCTTTTCTATGTGAATGTTTCTGTTCTGTGCCCTGAGACAACTCTGCTGTGAACTGGTGCTATATAACTAAACTGAATTAAACTGAAATATATTACATTTCTTTTAATTTTTTCAAAAACATTTAAAAGAAAATCTGTAACATACTTGTGCTATTTTTTTCCTTTCCAATGCTACTTTTAGCTCTTAGTCACCATTCTGTCACTAGTAGCTTTCAGCTAGCTTAGCTGCTTTCAGGTTTTAGCTATATAGTTGATTTTAGCTACTGTTTTACTAATTTCAGCGACTACTGGTTTGCTTTTCTTTGCTTTAGCATATATTTAGCTACTAATAGATTCTTTAGCTTTAGCTGTTTAATAGCTGTTTTTCCAACAGTTTGGTGAATTTTAGAATTAGCCTTTGTTTTAATTTTAAATTTTAGCATCCATCCAGCCATTATCTTTATCCACTTCTTCCTTTCTGGGTCACGGGGGTCACATGGTGCCCATGTCCAGCAGTCATTGTGTGTGTGGGGAGGGGGACATCCTGGACAGGTCCATCACAGGGACACCTGGAGACAAACACTCACTAGGGACAATTTAGAGTTACCAGTTAGCCTAGCATCCATGTTTTTCTAATTTTATCCTATTTGTTTAAATAATTTTGTCATTTTAAATTTTCCATGTTTTGCAACTTTCAACTAACGCTTTGTTCATTTTAGTTATGGTTTAGCTAATTTAACATTTATTTAGCTAATTTTAGCTACTGTTTTGGTAACTTTAGCATCTGTTTTAGTTATTCTTATCTACTGCAAAGTTAACATTAGCTTTAGAATTAGTACATGTACTTTTTGCAACTCTTTAGGTAATTTTTAATTAAACACATTTTTTAGCTAGTGTGGCAAATGTTAGCTCTAGTGTCTGTTTAGCTAATTTGTGCTACAGTTTCTGTCAGCTTGGACTAATGCTCGTTTTAGTTTTCAGCTACTCCTCTGCTGCCTTTAGCTCATATTTTGCTTGTTTCACCCAGCGTTGTGCTCATTTTAGCCTCGGTTCTATTTGTTCTCAGTTTTAGCTTCTCCAGTAAATTCCTGCAGTCGTGCACGGTGCAACAACGTGCACCGTCTCTGGTCCAGAGGTGGTGGTCAGCTGTTTGCACAGCTGGACTCTGACATATTTTGATACAACAGAGATGCAGATTGTCCAAAAAGGAGGAAGTCAGAAGTGTGTGCAGACCATTTGTGTGTGGTGCAGCGGCTCAGACAGCGGGAGCTGAACACACGTGAATAATGTGGCTCTGAAGACCTCCTTCAGTTTGAAATCTCAGACCTCCCCGGTGCTCTGAGAGCACCAAGATGATTTCAGTTTAACAAAAGTTGAATTCTTCTGTCAAAGTTCACAAACTGAGCTTGGGAAAAGAGTTGCTTCATTCTTCCAGACAAAACAACTGTTTGTAATTATGATGACATAACCCTGCGTGAACAGACCCAGCTGCCCGTTTCGTTTAGCTGAACCAGCAGCAGAAGCAGCAGCTGAAGCAGCAGCAGAAGCAGCAGCTGAAGCAGCAGCTGAAGCAGTGAATGATCCTGATGAGCTGAACGTGAAACAGCCTGAACGTCTTTAGGAGGTTCAGGAGATGGACCCATCTTTGACCAATCGTCTTCTTTGGTTTGAATCTGACGGATGAGCTAATCTAATGAGTCTGCATGCAGTTAAGATGAAAGTGGAATGCTGTTAATGACTCAATTCTCCAAACACTTTGCTTCATGTGAGCACTTCACATGAACCGCTACACCTCTATGACACTGATTTACAGAGAATCCTGTGGTTGTTTACAAACACAAATAACAACAAAATGGAGAACTTCTGGTGCCTCCTGAGGTCAGTTACTGTCTGTCTGTCCGTCCATCCATCCATCCATCCATCCATCCATACATACATCCATCCATACATCCATACATACATACATCATCTTTACCCGCTTCTTCCTTTCTGGGTTGTGGGGGTCACTGGTGCCCATATCCAGCACTCACTGTTTGAGAGGCAGGGGACACCTGGACATGTCTCCAGTCCATCACAGGGACACAGAGACAAACAACCATCCTCTCTCTCTCACCTAGAGCCAATTTAGAGTTACCAGTCAGTCTAACATGCATGTTCTTGGTCTGTGGGAGGAAACTGGAGTACCTGGAGAAAACCCACACATGCACGGAGAGAACATGCAAACACCACCCAGAAGGTTCCTGGGCTGGGATTTGAACCAGCAACCTTCTCACTGAGAGGCAGCAGCTCTACCAGCTGAGCCACCGTGCCATCAGTTACTGTCCAGATTGTAAAATATTTCAGCAGAAATTCTCGTGTAAAGCTTATAAATAAAATGTTCACTGCTGTGAAAGTTGAGTTGGTTTAAAATGACAGTGATCTGGTCTCACCTCTGGTCTTTAGATTAGATTTAATCTTCAGATTAACAGCTCCTTTCTCAGTCTGATCACTATTAAACTTTTTTTTTTCAAACTAAGATCTTTAAAATACATCTACAACAAAAATACATTAGTTGCTCATGAACTGATTATCAATTTGAACAGAAACTCTTATCACTTCCAGACTGCCGTCATCTTAAACACTTTTATGCCACAAATGCCACTTGTACCCTGATCCACGCAGATTAACGTGCTTCTACTGAAATAACTGAGGAGAACCATGAAGGGAGATCACTGTTAGTATCTGAGAGCTTCAAGCTGCCACATTCAACCCCTGCATTTCAATTCAGTGTATTTATAGAGAGCAGACGTCGTCTCAGGGCAATGCACAGAAAGGTGAGCTGTAATGTCGCAGTCACACCAGGACTTGATGGTGCTCTCATCCAGGGACTAGATGGTGCTCTCCTCCAGGGACTAGATGGTGCTCCCATCCAGGGACTAGATGGTGCTCCC